TTTCTGTGACAGCTCAGACAGTTCATTGCATCAACTTCTATCGACAGTGTCCAAGAAATACCCCTCTTATAACCCTTCTTTGCCCTCTTGACACAAAACTGCAAGATGAAACTTTGCTAAAGAACATGAAAAGCAGATGAATATTAAGAGCCCATTCTTTAATCAGATGAGACCGAGATAAACTTGTTTGGCTTAGATGTGGTCCAACATGTTTAGTGTTAACCTAGCCAGGAATACCACAGTGAATCTATAGTCCTGACGGTGAAGCAACGAGGTGGGAGTGTGACGTTATGAGGCTGCATACAAACAAAGGTGTTGGCAGATGATATTTATAGATGGCCCCATGAATTTCTGTGGATTTACCAAAATCCTGGCTGCCAAGATGACTCCTAATCTGCAGAAGACTGACAGAAGAGGAACATTCCAGCATGACACTGATCCAGAGCACACTGCAAAAGTCACACAAGCGTTTCCAAAGAAGAGCAAAGTGAAAACGATGACCTGTGCACGTGTGGCGCCTGACGTCAATCCAATAGAACATCCTTGGGATATTTTAAATAGAACACAGAGCAACTGTCTGTCAACGCTGGTTAAAAATAAGAATTTCAGATATTGTTTTAATTGCTGTTGTCATCACATACCACTAAAGTTCATTGTTACTGTTCTTCATATAGTTTCACCAAGTTAAAGCTGTTGTTGTCACTGTTGCTAAAGGACACAGTTCACTGCAGCTTATAAGCTGACAAGCAGCACAGTTGGTGCTTATTGAACCAGCAGACTGGCAGTGAAGACAAAAATTGCGAAGAAACACCGAAGAACTGCTGATTATGATGCTACAGGTTATTGTCAATATTAAGTGTCAGGAACAAAATACTTCCAAGCTTTAGTCTTTTCAGTAAAAAGGGGCTGAAGGGTTAAAGTGATTAAAATATATGTTTTTTTTTATGTTAAAAAACTTGTTCTAGTCTTTATCAAGATTATGTTGCATAATTTTAGCACAGTTTTAATGTCTGTATATGAATGACTTGCGAACTCATACGTACAGTTGAAACCAGAAGTTTACATACACTATATAAAAAGACATAACCTTTTTTTTTTCTCACTATCTGACAGTAAATCAGACTAAACTTTTCCTGTTTTAGGTCAATTAGGATTACTAAAATTATTTCTATTTGCTAAATGCCAGAATAATGACAGAGAGAACTTTTTGGATATTTTTTTATTACTTTCTTTAAAGTCAGAAGTTTAAATACATTTCTTTAGTATTTAGAAGCATTGCCTTTAAACCAGGGGTCTCGAACTCTGGTCCTCGAGGGCCGCAATCCTGCAAGTTTTAGATGTTTCCTTCTTCCAACACACCTGATTCAAATGATCAGGATCGTTATCAGACTTCTGCAGAGCTTGATGATGAGCTGATCATTTGAATCAGGTGTGTTGGAAGAGGGAAACATCTAAAACATGCAGGATTGCGGCCCTCGAGGACCGGAGTTCGAGACCCCTGGTTTAAACTGTATGACTTGGGTCAAATGTTTTGGGTTTCCTTCCACAAGCTTCTCACAATAGTTTGATAGAGTTTCGGCCCATTCCTCCTGACAGAACTGGTGTGACTGAGTCAGGTTTGTTGGCCGCCTTGCTCACACACACTTTTTCAGCTCTACCTACAAATCTTCTATGGGATTGAGAGCAGGGCTTTGTGACGGCCACTCCAAACCCACTGACTTTGTTGTCCTGAAGCCACTTTAACTTTAATTTAGCAACTGATTTGGCAGTATGCTTAAGGTCATTGTCCATTTGAAGACCTATTAGTGCCCAAGCTTTAACTTCCTGGCTGATGCACTGAGATGTTGCTTCAATGTTTCCACATAATGTTATTTCCTCATGATGTCATCTATTTTGTGAAGTGCATCAGTCCCTCCTGCAGCGAAACACAACCACAACAAGATGCTGCCACCCCCGTACTTCACAGTTGGGATGGTGTTCTCAGGGTTGCAAGTTTCCCCCTTTTTCCTCCAAATATAACGATGGTCATAATGGCCAAACAGTTCAATTTTAGTTTCATCAGACCATCAGGACATGTCTCCAGAAATTAAGGTCTTGTCCCTGTGTGCATTTGCAAACTGTAATCTGTCTTTTTTATGTTGCTTTTGGGTTAATGTCTTCTTCCTCTCTGAGCATCCTTTCAGCCCGTGTCGGTACAGGACTGGTTTCACTGTGGATAATGACACCAGCTTCAGCAGCATCTTCACAAGGTCCAGACATCTGGAAATTGTACCCAAGAATGAACCAGACTAGTGGAGGTCCACAATTCTCCTCCTGATATCTTGGCTGATTTCTTTCCATGTTGTCACAAAAGAAAACAGTTTGAGGTGTGTTTTAAAGTACATCCACAGGTGTGCCTCCAGTTAACTCAAATCTTGTCAGTTAGCCTATCAAAAGCTTCCAAAGTCATGACATCATTATCTGGGCTTTCCCAAATAGTTTGAAGACACAGTAATCTTACTCTATGTAAACTTCTGACTTAGAAGAAAGTGACAAAACAAATCTCTCTCATTTTTCTGGCATTTAGCTAATAGAAATCATTTTGGTAATCCTAACTGACCTAAAACAGGAAAAGTCTAGTCTGATTTAATGGCAGATAGTGAGAAGAAAAAAAAAGATGTCTTTTTAATACAGTGTGTGTGAACTTCTGGTTTCAACTGTATATTCACTTGTCAAATCCATCAACAGCAAACAGTATTTTGTGGTAGTAGTTTCTGCCAAAAATAATGCATGGTTCCATTCAAATTTAGTGGAGATTTTAAACAAATTATGCTTCATGTTTCCATTCAAGCTGCAGAAAACACATTTGTTTCACGTAGTAACACTGCTGTCTCCTTATCAGCTCACACAGATCTGATATTTTCATTGACTGCAATTTTTTTGCTGATGTTTCAGAAATCTCCAAAATATCCAATGTGACACATCAGGATACAGAGGTAACTGAAAAACAAATCCACGTGATTGCCTTACATCCACCAAAGACTGCTAGATGAACTTGAACCCAGATTAATGGAAGGTATGGGGTAACACACACTCACTATTACACACCCAAGCATGCATGACAGCGCTGAAGATCCGCCCTGCCGTGCAGCAGCAGCAGCAGCAGCAGCAACAGCAGAGGGAGGACAGGGGGAGGAGTGGAGGTGAGGACAGATCACTTTGGGATAAAAGTTGCAGCAGCAGTAGCAGCAGCAGCAGACATGAAAATCTGCAACGAACCAGTGCAACAGTTTGGAAAATTTAATTTGTGACTGCAGCAGAGTGACACGCTTCTGCGCTGTTGGTGGAAAGAAGACTCAGAAGAGGATTTGCTGACAGGTGCACCTGCTAAATGAAGAGCAGGACGTAAATTCATGTCGGGACAGTTTTCAAACTGAGGATCAACTGCACTGAACCGAACCGAACAGCAAAATGACTGTAAGTCAGAGCGGGTGTAGGGATTCCCTCACTGCTCCAAAACCAACAGGAGGAAGGATTTATAGATTAAACAGTCATTTCACTCATTGTATATAGAGAAAAAAACAACACATTTTTTTGTAATCAATGATGCGGATAGATTTTATTTGCACAGCTTCATTTTAGACTTGCACAGCACAGTAAAACTTCTGTCTTACAAAAAAAAAAGGAGGGAAAAAAACTGTTCAGAGAGCATCATGTGGATCAGCCAGACTGAACAGGCAGACTGTTGCAGGAACAGAAGTCTGAGAAACAGATGTCAATACCCAGACAGCTAAAAACAACAACGACAACATTTTTTTGTTTTTTTAATTTGACTGAACTGACTCTGAAATTCATCGTTAATCATCACTCTCATTTATAACCAGTCTTTGCACAGATTGCACTGCAAACCAGATGTTAAGGACATTTTAGAGGCATAAAAATATTTTTTCTTCAAAATAATCTTGACAAGAATACTTTTTAACACCTTGCTATTACAGCATCTGCATGTATTAGTCAAAATATTAAGCTGTCAGATTTATGTGCGTGGTTTTATTTATTTCAACACTTCTACGGGGCTACTTTCCTGTAACATGAGCTTCATTTATTGTGAGTGTAAAATGTTTATTATAGGTCTAAAAATCACAAATTTGCAGCGTTTATTTCAAGTGCACGTCTGATAATTCAATGTTGTTGCAAATAATCCCTTAAATATGAGTTATGCAATAGCTGCTATAGAATTTAAATATTGAGAACTAGATTTCTTTATAGAGCTACATGGACACGTATGAATTGGATGATTTGTTTTAAATGCAGTTCATCTCTTGATTGTAGGTACATGTGTTTTTTTTTTGTTTGTTTTTTTCATGCGGATACTAATCCTGAAACCCACTGAAAATGAATCAAAGAGTGCTTTTCAAATCATGCTTTATGCAACACTTTCACATGATTAGAACATGCATGTTTATGATGATATTTAAGATGCCGTCTCGCTTGCTGGGCATCATGCTGAAAGCCATTTTAGGTGGGTTGACTCTTGGATGTGTGCCAGCGCTGACAGGAGTGTCCAAATACACCTTTCAGTTTGTGACACTCACCCACACGCACAGACAAAACATGGTGCCATTCATCACAGCAGTGTTTGTGGTCCGCAGAGATCCATTTCCTTGTAGAGGACATCAGCAGGACATTCATCTCTGACACACAGCAGATATTACGGGTCCAGTCTTGTGTTACGTGGGCGTTCAGCCCAGCTTCCCACTGAGACGCTGTTGGAGTTGTACTGGTCTGGCTGAGACCAGTGAAACCTCCTCTGACACTCATCTGAACCCGACCAGCTCTGAGCATGTCAGCTATGCTGCTCATTGAATCCCCTCCTAACCCCGGGTCCTCTACACCACATGCCTCTTTCTTTTTACTCCCACTATTAAGAAACTTAAAATATTCTCACTTATCTGAGCAGGAATCTTCACTCACTAGCAATCTGTGTAATGTTTCTTCACATTTCATACAATCTTATGGAAATAGCTACTTTGTTTGTTTTAATATTCAGTAATTGATTCACAATAACTTCAAAAATGCAACAAAAAATTATGTTTGTTAAGTGAAAAAGAGTCAGAGAAAGATTTTACTGAAACATCAAATTACAGTCGTGACTCGATAATCCGACACTAAATGTAAAACCTTCTATTATGTCGGATAGCAAGGCTGTCGGATTGTCAAGACGGAGATACAAGGAGGGCTTGATGCTTGAAGGGTCATTTGTTGTTAACATTTATTGTTTATAGTTGTTATAATAACTAGTGTATTATCAGAACAGTGTGCATTGCTGGATTTCACGCCTAATTGACCGGTGTGCACTTGTGTATGTTCCGGCCACTTCCACCCCGGGGGTGCGCTCCGACGGGTGGAATTGGCCGGAACGTACAGGCAGTATTTGGCTGCTGATGCCAGTTGAGGACAGCGGTCACAGTTTCCACCAACGGTGGTGACAGCGGGGGAGTGGTGAATACACTCCACCGTTTACTTACGCAAGAACTGAGCACGCTCGCTGCGTGTGAAGTCGTTGTGTCCTCTTCTGCACGTGCAGGACACTTTTGGTTCGTATGAAGTTCACACAGCAGATCACATACAAGTCTCATTTAATTGGAAATGTGAACGAACTCGCAAAAAATCTGAATTGAGCATTAAGTCCTGCAGTGTGAAAGTAGCCAATCTGTCAAATTGTTAAGTCAGATAATACGCCGTTATCCTTATTTGTGACATAAAATGTCAGAGTCAGAATCCAAGGCTGTCAGTATGTTAAAGGTTTTTTTTCATGGGTTCCGTTCGATTTTCCTAAAAACCTGTCAGATAGCAAGGTTTTCGGATTGTTAGGGGTCAGAATATCGAGTCACGACTGTACACTAAAAAAAAAAAAAAATCTGCAATTTTAGAGAATTTTTCATGCTTATTTTAATGATTTGTTTTCGATATTTAAAAAAAACAATACACAAAATTATCAACAAAACAAACCGGAAAATGACATGTCTAGTGTACGAAAAAACTGTTTTTGACATAAAAAGTTGAAGCACTGAAGTACTTCTGCAAATTTACGGTAATTTCACAAATATTTCTTCCTTTTTTGATAGATGAAACTGTTAAATTCAAGAAATTATAAAATAATATTTTTAAAAATGCTCAAATTACATACAGATACTGACCAGTAACAGAAAAAAAATATTGGATCTGTAATTTTACATAGACTTGTTTGTCAAATAAAAGATCTCTTGTATAATTACAGAGGTTTTCACAACAAAACTTCTGGGAAAAAAGTCTTATCATTAGTGTGTAATATGGATAGGCATTGATAATTTCTCTTAATTAAATGTAATTGTTTTTACACATATAAATTCCCTTCTTTGAGCCTTTAAAAGCCAAAAAAGTCTAGAAAATGTATTTTATTTATGTAGTATTTTTGGCATCTAAGGAATGTGAATGTGAATAGCTTGTCATTATGGCAGAGCAGTGACACTGACAGGGTTAGGGTTGAGTTTCCTCTCAGACAGCTCACTTTAAAAATGTGCTCATGTAGAGTGGAGGAGGATTAGCAGTCAGACTGTATGTATAACATATCGCACTGCTGCTGTACTAGTTGGAGTTCTTTTGAAAACCATCAGAAGGTGTAGTTTTTACAAAATGAATGAATGTTTTATATGAAACAAATCCTTGTAGAACCAATTTTACTTTGCTTGTTATCATATTTGAGCTTTTACAAAGGCTGTTTACACATCTACTCATAATGAAGACGTAATTCTGTGCTAATAATAAACAAAACCAATAGTGGTCAATTGATGGTTTGTACTCAGTTGGTTCCAATTACCGCTGGCAAGCAGGTTAACTGAGCATGCAAGCATACAAATTCAATGACAAGTTAAAATCTATTTTCTGATTATTTCCTGGAATCCTTTTAGGAAATTACAGAAGCGTAAAATGAAGAAAAATCCACACAATTGATGATACAATCTGTCCACATTCTACAGAGTGGTTCTCTTTGTGTCTGTCGGTGTGAACAAAGCCTCGGTGGGTGATTCATAGTGTCTGTGTGCGGCACATTCACGGCTCTGGGTGGTTCACTAATGAGCTGTAATGAGCTGCATCGTGTCTGGACGAACATGGTGACACCAAATCCCAGCCGGAGATGAGGGAGGCCAGCTGTGGTGGAAACATCAACGTTCCACCAGACAAAACAAAGATCAGCGAGTGTGAGTGTGTGTGTGTGTGTGAGGATTTCGTGAGTCTATTAACAGACATGTTTATACCCGTGGATCAGTGCTGCCAGCGTCACCATGACGACAATCATCACTGCAACGGTCATGTTACGTTCCAGTAAGCTTCAATTCGGAAAAGAGACACTTTAATCAATGAAAACAATATTGGTATCTCGGGGGTTAGTGTTCTGATCATGTTCTGGTTTCAAGGAACATGAGAATCCTGGTTATTCATATCGTTGCATACGGGATCATTACATCTTATCTTATCATTCAGGGACCTGTTACATAAAGCCAATTTACAAAACTTATTTCAGTTTTTCTACCTTACTTTTAACTTATTTGGGTTCTGAGAAGCGAGTTTACTAAACAACCCAGAGGTAGTTCAGATAGTCTGACTCACTTGTAAGTTATTTTGGTTCCACAAAACAAGTTTACAAACTAAACCAGACTTATTTCAGATAGTCGGGCTTACTTTCAGGTTATTTTCATTCTGTAAAGCAAATTTACCAAATAAACCAGGCTTATTTCAGTTAACCTGACATACTTTCGAGTTGTTTTCATTCTATATAGTAAGTTTAGCAACTAAATCAGGTTTATTTCACTTAGTCTGACTTGCTTTCAGGTTATTTCTGTTCCGTAAAGCCAATTTAGCAAATAAGTTCCCAATCACCACCAGGATACTCGTGAACATGCACTTGCTCGCTCAAATTTAATTTTTTATTTCAACAGAAACTTTTGTGGGAAAAGAGAGCTCTGGTTTCTTGTTAAGAAATGTCAGCTATGACAAGGATCTGTTTGGATCAAACTTTTCTTAACAACGGATAATGCAGTTTCTTTCATAATTGACGAAAGATGTTTACAGTAAGTGTCAGTAACCTGTGTTTAGACGTTTTTCATGGAAAGACTTTGTCATGACTATCCAGGGAGGGCCCATTAAAGCACCAGTGGCTTCTGTTTCACTCAATGCGTCTTACTGAGTCACTCCAGTGGAACTCAACCATCACTAATACAACTACTTTCACATGCAATTTTCCTGCTATGTTGAGTGAGTACGTCTGTGGTGAAAAAGGCAAACGAGCTGAAAAGGCAGAAAACCACAAAGACCACAACAACAACCACTGCATTAAACTTAGTCGAGCCTGTTTGAGCCAAAACATTGAGAGAAAGAGATTGATCATGAAGCCGGGCACTCACTTCTAACTTTAACCTTTGATAGTTAGTTTCGTTATCGTTTTATTAGCCATGTCTGCAAAAACAAATCACAGGATCTGAAGTCATGGCCATCAAAGTTGCTTATTTTGAGCAGTTCCCAGATGCACCATTATCTACCCTGACAGTTCTCACATGTGTTTCATTTTAAAATAGCCCAAAACAAGATTAAGTTGTGGCTAGAGCACTGTGGAAACGAATGTGATGCAGGAAATGACTATCAAATGAGAGCGTAAAAGGAAATCAGAATCAGAGAAAACACACGATGCAGGTTCTCATGTGTTTTGACCAAATATTGTTTCCATTCGCACCAGCTAGAGGATAATTGTTGTGTAGGGGTAAAGCATGGCATGATCTAACACATTTTGGTTTGGGCTAAATTACAAAAAAATACCTGAGGTAGAGCCATCATGTTTTAATACAAGCAACATGCACATCTGTGTTACATATGAAACCTCAAAGCTTGTTTCTAGGACCTCTTGTTCTTGTATGTTCTAATGGTAACTTACACCAGGGCCGCAGTTAATTGTAACAGGAAGGAGAAAAGTAATTCAATACAGTTTTACCTATATGTGACAGATATTGGGATGCTTTTTGTAGATGTTTGGTAGATAATCACACATCTATCCATTCCTCATCTAACTATCTACCATTGATAGAAAGACCAAATGATGGATCACAGGTATGTGTAACTATATCATGTATGGATGGAACGATGTGCGTTGGTTTATCCATCATTTATTGGTGTCAGAGGTATTCAAATGGATAAACTGATGGATGTAGATGGATAAAGTGTATTCCCAATAGATTCTAGAGTTACACATCAACATATACATAAATAACAGACATTGTGTCAGACATTGACAATTTTATTTTTGTCCACCAGGTAGGCAACACACATGGAAATCATGTTTGAAAAACACATTCATGAGCCACACAACATTGTTTGGGAACCATAAGTCTAACAGAACTCATCTGACTCAATCTGATGGATGGATTTCTCATTCTTTGGGAAAGATGAGTTACGAGAATTTGTTGTTTTTATTTCAACATCGTTGTGCACCTTAGCGCAGCTTAGAACTAACATTGTGTTACAACTAACCCTGTTGTGTGAAGTCTTATGCAAGAAGATGATTATTAAGGTAACAAAAGCTAAATTTGGATCCTTGCACACAGCTGTGGTTCACCAATTTACTTACATAGACCATCTTCTGGCAATGTGGTAACCAGAAACTGACCAGAAACACACCCTTCTCAAACCTATGTGACTATGTGACAGGTCCATGTTACATTTAACACCACATATGTCCACTAAAAAGTCTTTCTTCTTCATCAGCGTTCATGTTTGTCACTTAAAAGAATTAAAACATTTAAGACAGTCGCTGCTCAAACCACAAGACATTTTTGTTCCTGAAGGAGCACAAACCCCACAACAGATCTGTAAAAGAAACTTGTGTTTGTGATAGTCAACAAAAACACATGAGAAGTCCTACATGAGCTTGTTTTTGTGCAGCTCTCGTCTCTGACTCATGTCCAAACATCACATGCATCTTGTTGTTAGCTATGATGAAATCAAATGGGTTTGTAAACTTGGACAGATCACGATATGGTCAGGACCTTACTCAGAACCAGAGAACCCATTGTGTTTTTGTTTTTTCTTTTTCTCAGATCTAAAAAATCTATCAACCTTGTGCTCCAGAGCATACATCTTTGGCTCTACCTACAGAAATGTTTCTAATATATTCATGAAGTGAACCAGCTCTCTGTTTGTGCTACTGCTGTTTGGATCCATCTGATTTGTGGTCCACCCTTTAGGCTGCTTAAGAATGACGTACACATGGAGTTATCTCAACTACTTGAACCTGTATCAAATTAGCCTGATTGCTTAAACTTGACCTGAACTTTAGAAAACTGTTTAACTTCAACTGATTTTTTTGGTTCAGGTTTAGGACTTTAATCCACACTTTTTTGTGTGTTTCTTCAGGCAGCCACAAAGCTTCTGGATGAGATGTGCCACCTGACGGCTCAGTCTCTGACAGCAATGGACACATCAGATCACTTCAGGGTCCTAAAGCTGCTGGGTGAAGGCTCGTATGGGAAAGTCATGCTGGCTGTGCACAGAAAGAGAGGTGGGGAAAATAAACCAACATGTTCCTTACAGCCTCAAGAAAAACTGAACCACATTATAACACATTTCCCTCGACTCCTCCAGGTACTCCCATGGCTCTGAAGTTCTTCCCTCGCGAGTCTACGTCTCTCTTCTCTTTCCTGAGGGAGTATAACCTCTCTCTGTCCTTCTGCACCCATCCATCCCTGACCAGAGCTCTGGGAATCGCCTACTCCACCCCTTCACACTACGTCTTCGCTCAGCAGGCCAGCCTCTTTGGTGATCTCTACGATGTCATCATTCCTGAGGTATACAGATGTTTAGTGTTTAGTGGATGTTAAAGTGTAAAGAGCTCATCCTCCTTAGAGATGTCCGAGGAAAATAGTTACTACGATGGTATCTGGTCACAAAATGACCCTTATGTAAGATATAACAAATAGAGCGGAAACAGGATTGGAAAAGGAAGCTGTTGATATTTAAATAGATTTTTTCTGATCAAAGCTCATGGTTTTCTGTTTTAATCATCCCCTTCCCCATTGTTCTCCAGGTGGGTATGGAGGAGGACTGCTGTCAGCGGGTGGTGTCCCAGCTGTGTGGCGCTCTGTCCCACCTACACTCCCTTGGTTTTGTCCACAGAGACCTCAAACCAGAGAACGTGTTCTTGTGCGACTCTGCCTGCCGATGGGTCAAACTGGGAGACTTCGGCATGGTCAGTATAAAGTGAAAGAGACACTGAAATGTCAAATTATGGCATTTATGAGAAGTCTGTTTTGAAAATACCACTATTAGACATGGACTATGCAACGTAGCTGCTTTATCAGTCTGTTAAAGTGATGGCATTCTGTCATTCAGACTTCTTCAGACATTCTCACCACAGTGATAGAAAAACACGGTGCAATTTGTCATTCATACAAGATTTGACAAAACATCCAGTGATGTATAGTAGAAAATATTGTACTGAAAACAAAAAAATTATCGAAACTATAAACAATAATAATTATGAGTGTGTAAATATGGACCCTGCAGCTGTTTAATGCTGCAGGTGTTTATTAAACTCAAACTAAACAACTGGAAGCAACAAACTGAACTTGGGCTCCTGTTTTGCCAAAATCTGGATTACATCAATTATTGGCGAGTCTCATTAATTAGACCCATTAAAGACTCTGTCTTCATCTCAGTATAGTTTGATATTTCTAAGCGTACCAGTTTATAACAGTTGAGAAATTTTTGTGATTTTTGGCAGCAAACTGTTGCTTCTTTTTTTTGCTCTCTGTGATGTTTTTCGATCAATATTGAGGCTGAAATGGGGCAAAAGTCCAACATGTTCAGATGCAGTCAGATTAATGTCTGAAAGAGGCTCGTTTGGCTCATCTGTTAACAATGCTGTATGTCTGGAAACAAAGCAAAAGCAATTTATGTGCAATATGTGTTTCTGCACTTTGCTATACACAATTGTTTGTAGTCAACAAAAGTATCGTGTGTGAAAGAGGCAAATAAATGAATATTTACTCCAGGTGAAGGCCAGAGGAACCAGGGTGCCGGAGGTCTGGTACAGTTCTCCTTACTGCACCCCTGAGGCTGAGATCGCTCGAGGAAATGAGGACAGCTGGAGCAGTGTGAATGACGGGGAGGATGGCTTTACAGGAGATGAAGAGAAGAAGAAAGCGAGAGTCTGGGTGTCAGTGGAGCCCAGCACAGACAGCTGGGCGCTGGGCATCCTGACGTACGCCATGCTCACCGGCAGCCACCCCTGGGCTGAAACAGTCAACGACTGCCGCTCATACCTGAAATATCGAGAATGGTTTGACAGAGTTAGAAACCCCGACGATGAACTGGATGTGTGGACAGAACCACAGACAGAAAGCATGGAGGAGGCCACAGATTTAAATGAAGGACTGGGTAAGAAGGACCACCCTCCCATTGCACCCCAGTTTGCTTGTTTCACCCAGCTGGCCCACTCCTTCTTCCAGTCACTCCTCGACCCGAGGCCGAGGCTCCGTGGACGACCTGAGGATGCGTTGAGTTACCTCGGAGGAGACTGGATGATGGAGAAAGAGCGGGTGAGGCTGGAGGAGGAGAGGAAGAAGAGTAGAGGGAAAAGTGCTATCAGAAACGTGAAAGAGATGGAGGGGAGAGGGGAGCGATAAACGAAGACTGTTCATCAGAATGATGAAGAAAGAGACAACAATAATGTAGTCGTAGTCTGTTGACTACTGGTGAACTTTGTGATGAACAACCATCACATCAGCTTTGTACAGTGTTCAACAGAAGTGTGAAATCTGTGTAATATCACTTTGAAGTCATATGATTTTAAATTGTATAATCTCTCAATAACTATATTAAACAAAACAAATACTTTAAAAAGACTGTATTAAAAATACAGNAAACAACTGGAAGCAACAAACTGAACTTGGGCTCCTGTTTTGCCAAAATCTGGATTACATCAATTATTGGCGAGTCTCATTAATTAGACCCATTAAAGACTCTGTCTTCACCTCAGTATAGTTTGATATTTCTACCAGTTTATAACAGTTGAGAATTTTTTGTGATTTTTGGCAGCAAACTGTTTTTGTTTTTTTTTGCTCTCTGTGATGTTTTTTGATCAATATTGAGGCTGAAATGGGGCAAAAGTCCAACATGTTCAGATGCAGTCAGATTAATGGAAAGGAACGGATGTCTGAAAGAGGCTCGTTTGGCTCATCTGTTAACAATGCTGTATGTCTGGAAACAAAGCAAAAGCAATTTATGTGTAGTATGTGTTTCTGCACTTTGCTATACACAATTGTTTGTAGTCAACAAAAGTATCGTGTGTGAAAGAGGCAAATAAATGAATATTTACTCCAGGTGAAGGCCAGAGGAACCAGGGTGCCGGAGGTCTGGTACAGTTCTCCTTACTGCACCCCTGAGGCTGAGATCGCTCGAGGGAATGAGGACAGCTGGAGCAGTGTGAATGACGGGGAGGATGGCTTTACAGGAGATGAAGAGAAGAAGAAAGCGAGAGTCTGGGTGTCAGTGGAGCCCAGCACAGACAGCTGGGCGCTGGGCATCCTGACGTACGCCATGCTCACCGGCAGCCACCCCTGGGCTGAAACAGTCAACGACTGCCGCTCATACCTGAAATATCGAGAATGGTTTGACAGAGTTAGAAACCCCGACGACGAACTGGATGTGTGGACAGAACCACAGACAGAAAGCATGGAGGAGGCCACAGATTTAAATGAAGGACTGGGTAAGAAGGACCACCCTCCCATTGCACCCCAGTTTGCTTGTTTCACCCAGCTGGCCCACTCCTTCTTCCAGTCACTCCTCGACCCGAGGCCGAGGCTCCGTGGACGACCTGAGGATGCGTTGAGTTACCTCGGAGGAGACTGGATGATGGAGAAAGAGCGGGTGAGGCTGGAGGAGGAGAGGAAGAAGAGTAGAGGGAAAAGTGCTATCAGAAACGTGAAAGAGATGGAGGGGAGAGGGGAGCGATAAACGAAGACTGTTCATCAGAATGATGAAGAAAGAGACAACAATAATGTAGTCGTAGTCTGTTGACTACTGGTGAACTTTGTGATGAACAACCATCACATCAGCTTTGTACAGTGTTCAACAGAAGTGTGAAATCTGTGTAATATCACTTTGAAGTCATGATTTTAAATTGTATAATCTCTCAATAACTATGTTAAACAAAACAAATACTTTAAAAAGACTGTATTAAAAATACAGATCCCAAAGTAGAAATTCAGTGCAACAAAAGTGGACACACCTGTGATCACTGAAACTAAACTGAGTACAGCTGTGATCTCCAATCAGCCTAATTGCATGAACATGGTTATAAAAATGAATTGTGAACACCAGAACTTTGTCAGTTTTGGACCTATGGACTGTCTGTCTGTATGCCTGCATCATGGTTCTACATGGAAAAGATGTGACGGAAGAACTGAAAAATATGATTGTGAGACTTCGCAAAGATGGAAAAAGATACAGGAAGATAGGTTACCAATTGAAAATTTGTGGAAACACAGTTGCTTCGGTAATCAGGAGTTATCAAATGTGTCGTCGTGCCACTAATCAGAGCTGCAATGGTTGTCTTCCTAAAATGATGCCAAGGACAGTGCAGTACTTTTACAATCTTCCTGTAAAAAGCAAACTGGAAGGTGCTTCAGACTGGCCACATGGCTTTCTGTGACAGCTCTGGCAGTGTGAAGAGCATTGCACAATGTCGCCCTCTATGGACAGCTTGCTTCGACACACAACTACAAGATGAAACTTTGTTCGCAAAAAGAAGCCTGATGAATATTGGGAGCACATTCTTTGGTCAGATGTAATCAAGATGGATTTGATTAGCTCAGATGGGGTCCAGAATGTTTGGTGTGAAACTGACCAGGATGACCACAGTGGAAGCATAATCCTGACATTGAAGCACAGCGATATTAGTGTGATGATATCGGGCTTTATGTGTGCAAAAGGGGAAACACTGATGACATTTACTGATGGTACCATGAATGCCTGTGGATATACTGAAGATACTGGCTGACAAGATGACTTCCAGTCTGCAGAAGCTGTGCCGAAGAAACATACTGATAACAATGCAAAGCACACTGGAGAAATCACACAAGAGTTTCTAAAGAAGACAACCCATTGAACCTGTCATCTGAAATAAACTTGGACAAGAATTGAAGGACTAAAGATTAGAATGTCAGAAAGGAAAGGTGTGCATATCTAACTTTTGTTGCATTGAGTTCCTACTGTGCCTCTGCATTTCATTTTACACAGTTTGCACATTTTTACACACCAGCTTTTGTTGGTAGAAGAAAGCCATAATGGCAAACAGTGGATAGAGTGTAAGATAAATGAAAAAAAAAATCACCTCCCACATGTTTAACCTCTTCAAACATTAGGAAAAATCCCCCTTGTTAAATGAAAACAACATGGTTTATGGGAAACCTAGTGTTTGGCAAACTGTTGTCCTGTGGGAGGCGGACAGCTGTTTTGATTACTTAAGATAATTGAAAGCATTTACTACAGCACTAAGTGTAAATTTCAGACTGAAAAAGACATGAAAACAGTGTGACAGCAGCTGCACTTCTGGGGATTATGTGTGTTTAGTCGTGCTGTTGTGCTATCATGTCCTTGTAAAGGATACCTCCTTTAGCACATCACTTCTATATTTAGGATTTCAGAGTGTAAGTACGTCATAGTAGGCTATGAACTGTATATAGACTGCAGTAGTGCCGAGCAATAAACATGTCAGAGGTCCAGTTCATACACTACCACAGTGTTTTTTTTTTTTTACTTGAATTTAAAGAATAAAACAATTGGTTACAAGCATGCAGCTTTTTGCTTTTTACCGGGATTTTTTGTATGTTAACATATTAGCACGGAGCTGTTAGCTGTTACATTTTGCACAAAACTATATCTTCGCTCATTTTTGTTTAGTTAAATGTTTCTTATATGCCATTAAATCCTTTAAATTTGATGTATGAGATTGTGATTCATGTGATTATTGTAATATTTCAGTACTTTTCAAGAGTTATTGGTGCAGTGCATAATGTTAAATCCTTCTTTATTTATGGAATAGGGCTGCATCGTTTATAATTTTAGCTTGTTTTTTCCTCCATTGTGCAGCCGTAGCATGTTACTTAAAATTGTTTTAAAAAATTTTACTTAAAAGGTAGTCATTTGCAAATGAGCAGATTTTAAAAATATACCTATTTTAAAGGATTTTATTGAAAGGATTTTAAGTAACTGTAAAAGAGATGCCCCGACTTGATCACGTCTCTGTAAAGTCCTAATAGATCACATTCACACACAACGAGGAAAGTCTGCAAAGTATCCTGTTTTGTTTTTTTTTTAGAAACAGACTCGTGGTCATAAATTTGACACTACAACCTTTCAGCATGGTGTCTGTGCTTCTGCCCTCTCAGTCCAGCCAAGTCACACAGTGGACACATTTTCTCATGCAAGAGTAACCCGCTGGATGCGTACTGCAGGGGGAGATTTCAGCGCAGACACAGCCAAACACACTCGCACCAAACATGGATCAATAACTGACGCACACTGATAAACACTGCTCTTTGGAAGAATTGATTTTCACTGGTCAGAGGTTATTACTGCATTTACTGGCAGCTCGGTGCTGCTCCAAGCACAGGAAAGGGGATCGTATACAAGACGCAAAATACAGTCATGTTTGTTAAAGTTTATCAATGCAAATATGTTTTTTTATCCAAAACTAAACTGTTAAAAAAATGTGTTACTTTTTCTCTATCTTTGAGATACACAAAGATATGAGTAAAATGACAAAGCTAGACTGTAAAATTACATGTTTAAAGTAAAATAACGTTTTAAAATCTGTGGACAACCATTAAAGGCAATTTATTTTTTAAAGCATACAAAAATTGTTAAAATCCTTTCGCACATTTATTGTAATTTCACAAATGATTTCCTTTTATTTAATAGATAAAACTGTAAAATCCTCATTTATTACTGTACATATCTTTCTAAAATTAGACACAAGTAGTGACACTTAAAAGGAAAAGAAATGTGTGTTCTGTAATTTTACTTAGATTTTTTGTGATTAAAAACTGACTACAGCAGCTGACTCCTCTGAGTCAAACTAAATAGGACCCATTTAATACACTCACCAGACTCAACTAAAAACAGTACAGTACAACAGTCTGAGAAGCTCAGCATGGATCTTAAAAAGCAAATCACTGACTTGAACAAGTCAGTAAAGTCACTTGGAGCCATTTCAAAATGACTACAGATCCCAAAATTATCTGTGCAAACAATCGTTTCTAAGTATGAATGAAATGAAAAATACTTTATTTATCCCAGAAGGGAAATTCAATTATATATATGTATAAACTGCATGGTACAGTTGTGTCACTGCCACGATCAGAAAATCAAAAAAAACACAAGCTATCACCTGCTGCTGAGAGAAAATTGGTCAGGATAGTCAAGCGTCAACCAAGAATTACAAAAGAGCAGATCTGCAATGAATTAGAAGCGACTGTAACACAAGTGTCAGTGTCCACAGTGTTTTCCATCAACATGAGCTGAGAGAAGCTCTTCATCTAGAAGCAGCACCTTAAGGCTTGACTGAAGTTTGTTGTGCTGACTACATGAACAAAGAAAAGGCCCTCTAGACGAAAGGTTTGTGGTCAGATGATACAAAAATGGAGCTATTTGGCTTCATTGAACAGAAGTATGTTCGAAGGAGCGAATGTGAGGCCTTTAACTCCAAGAACACCAAACCTACCATCAAGCACGGTGGTGGCATTATCATGCTCTGGGGCTGTTTTGCTGTCAGCAGATCTGGCGTTTTACACAAAGTAAATGGAATAATGAAGAAGGATGACTACCTTCACATTCCTCAGGAAAACCTAAAATAATCAGCCCAAAGGTTGGGTGTTGAATGCAGTTGGGTGTTTCAATAAGACAATGACTCAAACACACATCAAAAGTGGTAAAGAAATGGTTCGATTAGGAATGACTGTGGGACGTTAAACAAATATCAGAATTACTGTATGTATATTTTTGACCCAGAACATTTTGTCATCTTTCTAGAAGACATATAACAAATCTATGAAAGAACCAAAAATGCATGATTGTTTTTTGTTTTTTGTTTTGACACAGCCGTATGTGTTTTAATCATTCCATCATAGAAAAAGAGCTGTGGGACTCATTGGAAACTCAAGACTGTCATGACGTACAGTACATGGTCTTTACAAGTCTATGTAAACTTTTGGTCACAATCCTTCAAATTGCATTCCGTGTACTTTATCCTCCCAGGTCTGTTTATTCACACTCAAACTTCTGGTCTCTGTTTCTGCGGCTGAGAAGGCGACAAAGCCGACTACTGTATGATTTGTTTGCCAGAAAATATTTGATCTTTGACACTTGCCTGGAAAAGGGAAAGTCAGCAGCATTAAAGGGTGAGAGGAGGGTGAGGTCAGGGGGAGAGCAGGAGCAACGGCAGCCGCAGAATGTTGATACGCTGCCCGGGCTAATAAAAACTGCAGGAGTCGTAAATAACAAGCAGAGGTGAAAACAAAAACAATAAAATTGCCCAAGGATAAAAGGCCTCAGCCTGTCTGTGGGTGTCTGAATCACCAAGTCATCTTAAAACTAGAATACAGAATAACACTGATTAAAAAAAAAAAAAAAAGACCCAATAGGCTTATATTTTATGTTAATTTTCTGAACCCAAAGCAGTTTCTGGTTGTTTTTAGCTCCTGTCACATTTTTACTCACTGTGGGCTCATTTTCACCACAATATAAAGTCCTGCACCCTATGGAAAGAGCACAGTCTTCACTAGAAGCAGAGAAAACTCTACAAGTGTCTTCTGTACAGTATACCTGTAGGTATTTTATGATTTACATGTTTAATTTGTTTCCATACATGTCTACCTATCTACTCTGTATAAACACATCCTGCAATTCAGCCAAAAAGTCCCTGAAACTTCGATATGCAACTGTTGGTATTGACGAGTTTGAGTAAGGCAGAATTTTTTGGGCTGTTTCGGCATCTTATATGTGCAGACATTTCATTTTGAAAGAATTTCTGAAACGAGGCATGTAGAACTAAGAGAATTTGAAGAAATATCACAGTTTTTTTTAACTTAGATTTCGCTAAGTTTTCTGACAAGAACCGCGTATCACAGATGAGAAGTTCCAGGATCAACAAATCTTTCCGTTTTTAGCATTTCTGGCTGATACTTCT